AGTCAATCCTAAAGGACATCAACCTTGAATGCTCATTGGAAGGATTGATACTGAAGCTTAAGCTTAGATACTTTGCCCACCTAATGCGAAGAGAGGACTTTTTGGAAAAGACCCTGATGTTGGGAAAGATTGAAGGCAAAAGAAGAGGATGGCAGAGGATGAGATGGTTAGATAGTATCACCAAAGCAATGAGCATGAAACTGAGCAAACTCAGGGAGGCAGTGAAGGACAGGAAGGCCTGGCGCAATATGGTTCATGGGGTCATGAAGAGTCGGACACGACTTAACGACTGAACAACAACAACAACTACATTTCTTATTTTTAACTTCATCAAAAATGAAAAGAACCTGTCCCTTCAATTTTCAACCATCACAGTCAAAGGGTGAGGAAAGGATAGTTGGGAATACACAATATTATCCTTTGTAGTAATCCAAACGGAATATTATTAGCATGTGGATAAGGCTAACTTGGACCAGGAGGGCTTAGAAATGACACATCAGCTTAAGATGGTGAAAGCACACAGTTTGGGCCAATGGAAATATCCTGGGACCCTAATGATAAACATTGCTTCCTCATGCCAAGGCTGAGTATCTGGCCCTTAAAAGAAGGTGCAGTATGTATCTGTGTCTTGCTCTTCCCTCTTCTCTTGATCAATTTTCAAATATTTAAGGAAATACTATAGTTACCAAAGTACTTATAAATTCATGAATGCATACAGAATTAACTGAACTTTTGAATCTGCCTTCCACAATCAAACCATTGGTCATTTGGTCCAGTCTATTACTGTCTGTTCTAAATGCCAGTGACTATCCAAAATTTTATGACAGCCAGTTTGGTGTAGTGGTTAAAGCATTAGGCTAGAAATCGGGAGACTGTGAGTTCTAGTCCTACCTAGGCACAAAGCCAGCTGGGTGACCCTGGGCCCGTCACTTTCTCTCAGCCCTAGGAAGGAGGCAATGCAAACCACTTCTGAAAAACCTTGCCAAGAAAACTGCAGGGACTTGTCCAGGCAGTCTCCGAGAATTGGACACGATGAACAGATTAAAAAAAAAAAAAAAATCCAACATTTTAGGCAAAATCACTTTTCAAAGTGGAGATTCCAAGTGTTGACTTTCCCTACGAAAACCTTGCAGTGATTGAGGTCGCTTCCCATTTCTGTCCCCTTCCCTGACCCCTTTCTCTTCTCTCACTCTCTCTCTCTCTCTCTCTCTCTCTCACACACACACAGAGTAGTCCCATGTTTAGGTTTTCAATTAATTTTAGCAAACAGAAGCATCATGTGATCGGTGCATAGAATGGAAAAGCAATATAAAATTATGCAAACCAACAGAGAGAAATACCTGAGGCGGTCTGTAATCTGATAAGGGAAATTGTCTGGTGTCAGGAGAATGTTGCCGGTAGTCTATCAAAGGGGGTTGCCGGTAGTCCAAAGGGGGGGATTGCTGGTAATCTAATACTGGCGGATGCCGGTAATCTAATGGAGGTTGCCTATAGTCTGTAAATGGAGGTTGCCGAATGTCAGGTTTCACATCCTGCCTGGCTTTTACCTCTGACCTATAACTAAACAATAAAGAACAATTATATTAGAATCTGAACATTGTGTTGTTTGTTAAATTAAAGACCTGCAAAATAATGCCAAGAAATGAAATGTAGATTGCTGCATTGTAAAACTAGGCTTGGCTAAGTAATCAAAGTACGTAGCATTTCATTTTCAAACATATGGTTTGAGGGTCCTGTTGTTGAAGAGTAGAACACTATTCCTAAGGCAGTGGTGTTTGAGATGTCCACAGAAGGATCAGGTACCATTCTGGTGTGTCCCGCAACGTATGTGCAGCAAGAAGAGCAGCTGGAGAGGAAGGTTGCTGGAGGTGAGAATCACCTACTGATGCTGTAGGACATTTGAAAATGGAAAACTGCTTTGTTGGTTGCCACTCTCCCCTCCTTAGTTTCTCACTGCTCCATTGAAAGGTTAAGCGACATGGCACCATTGCCTGCTGAACATGCAAGGGCTGTATCTCCATGACATTAACCAAGCTATCTCCTCCGCCTGTTAACTGAGATCTACATTCTTGGGATATTTTTGTTACTTCCTGACCAACAGAGGGGAGCATATCGTCAGTTTCATTCCTAGGCAGGAATCATGGAACCTCTAGTTTGAGGGTATAAACACATTAACTATGTCTCTCAACTCTGAGAGCTTAAATCAGAAGGTGTGCACCCATTCATCTCTATGCCCCAGAGACACATGACCTGAGATGACTGGGTGAATTGTGAGTTGGCCATTTATCTAGTTCTCCCAACCTCTCCAGATGAGATTGGGAAGCTGTTGTTCCTTGTCTTTTTTTGAAAAAAGGGGGAAAAAAGATAAATCCATGGTGGATAATTGGAGTTAATACCAGTGCATTCAGTACTCATGCCTTACCAGGAAAAGACATTTAGTCATTGTCCCAATCTTACAAGATCCTGCATGAGGACACTAATATTCAGGAGACAGATCTTTCTCCTGCTTGACAGAAAGTAAGTAACAGACCAGCAGTGGGGTAGACAGGCTTACATTAAGTTAATATATTTCCAAATAAGTGAGGCAAAGCTTATTCTTGCCTATATCATTTGTGCCATTTAAAAAAAAAAAGATTCCCTTTGCACATCTTAGGAAGAAAAATATTATAACACATTTCCTGAATGTATAAACTGTGAGGTTCTACCAGAATTTCCGGAAATTTATTAGATAAGCTCAACCCCTCATCACTCTACATTTGGAGCTGACTTTGAGGACCACCTAGAAGCTGCAATTGGTACAAAATGATGATCAAGAGCATATTGGATCTGTGCTTGAAGCCTGGCATTGGCTACCAACAGGCTTCCAAGTGCTGGTCTGGAACTACAGAGCCCCACCTGGCTTGGCATCAAGAAATAGCCAGGACTGCCTTCTCCACATGGAGTTGATTTGACCAGTGCTTCCAGCTGTTCTCTCCAGGGACCTCAGGATAGGCTTTTGGTAATCCCACGTTTTGTAAATTGAAGGTGTTAAGGCCAGGAAATTATGGTTTGTATTGTGGCATCAACATTTTGGAACAGCTTCCCTTTGGAAGGTAGACTGGCCCCCTTCCCCTTCTGTAAAATGAATTATTTAGGAAAGTCTTTGGTGAGTGACTGATGCCTGGGGTGAATTACAAAGTTGCTGGGATTATAGGTTTTTTCCCCCATATTATGGTTGCATTGAGGATGGATATTTCTTGCTGTTACACTTGTTACTGTGGTTGTTTCAATAACTGATTTTTGTTTATAGTGGATGTTTTTTTTGGGGGGGGTGCAGCCAATACGTTGGAATAAGCTTTAAAATGGCAATATAACCAAATACACGCATGTAGTTCTTTAAACTATATCAACATTTTTTTTTCATCCAACCACCTGTAAATAAAGCAAGCCAGCAATGGGTGGTCATGAATGTTGAATGGGATTTCTATGCATAATAAACAAAAGGGCAATAACATCAGCTTTTCCCCTTGACTCACTCCTGATTATTCTCGGTTACAGGCAACTCGTTGCCTTACGGTATCCAAGGGAGACTGTCTTCTCTTCGAAAGCATCTGCATTCCCCTCACCAGTTCAATATTTCTTTGCCTGGATCCACACCTATGTTTCATGCAGGTTGAGTGGGAGGCAATGGTCAAATCGTGATTCCTATTCACCCCTCAGTTTGTATGGATTATAAGAGGAAGGTCTTTTTGGCTGAGGCACGTCCCTGGAACTGACTCCAGTTGCTTCTTTCTACTTAATGCTGAAGAGCCAAAGAATTATCCAGCTATTTATATACATCTCAGCTCATTCTGGATTTATGTTTTTTAACCCTTTTATGTGTTTATCTTAGAAGTCTTCTCCATTTTCTTCCCATGATAGAACTCATAAAGGCATCAATGGTATTGCCAAATTGTTAGTGATTCTAACTGAAGCCTGTTCAAAGACATTCATACTTTGAGACCTTCTAAAATGGAAGAGAATATAAAAACAAGTTGTGCTAAAGCTTAGGGAGGCCTGCTCTTCACCAAACAGCAAAGGTATACAAAATGCAAAACTGTTGTCCCAATTTACTAGTACATTATCTGGAAATGTCCCACTGATTTTAACAGAACTTATATTTTCCTTAGGAAGGAGGTTTGGAATAGTAATGTCAGTTCTGTGGGACTGTTAAATGAAGCACTTTGCTTGAATTATCCCTAATTGGTCCTTTTTACAACTCAGTTGAGAATCTTTGAAACTGTCATTTAATGTTGGGTCCAAGTCTGGATTAGGAACATTGATAAATAAGTGATGTGATATTGTGTAACATAATGTATTTAGTCACATTTTTGCAAGACAAAAGTTAACCCAAGGACAAAATATAATTCTCTAGAAATTATAAAATGATAGAAGTTTTAATGTGACCATTTATTTTAAAGTAAAGTTTCCACGAAGACCCAGTTTGGTATAGTGGTTAAGGCATCAGGCTAGAAACTGGGAGAACATCAGTTTGTCCTGCCTTAAGCACAAAGCCAGCAGGGTGACCTTGGGCCAGTCACTCTCTCTCAGCCCTAGGAAGCAGGCAATGGCAAACCACTTCTGAAATCTTGCTAGGAAAACAAGTCCATGCAGTCACCAGGAGTCAACACTGACAAAATCGATGTGGTAAAATTATCCAATGTCTTTTGCCCACTGCTTTTTGGATGAAATAGTATTTTTAGGATTCTGTGGTAGAAATGCAAGCTTTATTATAACGAACTTTATTTGTTATATGCATTTGAGAGCTTTGTAAAGAATGATTTATCCTTTGGGGAATTATCACAAGAGTTCTTATTATGAAAAAAGGACATAGCCTTGCCATCTACAATGGACTTTGCATCCCAATTCCATCTATTCTGTTGGTGAAGTAAGCAACCGGTTTTATATCCTTTCATTAACATATAGGGTTGAATCCATAAATACTATGAGAAGAGTTCTCCAAATGGAAGACTTTCCCCTATAGAAAAGGAAGAAGTGATTTTTGGGGGGCTGATTCTGGTTTGGATCCTGTAGTTCCTGTCCTCGCCTCTCCAGATTTGCTGTGGAGAACTAGGAGATCCTGTAGAACTGTGTGAGATTTAGGAGGCAGAGAAGACAAAACCAGCCTATGAATGGAAATCTTTCTTTGCACTAACCAAAGTGTTAAGTAAAGCTGAACTGTTTTGCTTATGTCCAGTAAGCTCTTCCCACCTTCTCCATACACCCAAGAACCAGTGGTTCCTGCCTTACCTATTTTCATGTCCTTGAGTCTGTAGAGGCTGTGGAGGTGTGGGCTGTGCTACAGGGCTCTGCTGAGTCACAGGGCTGTGTTGCTGCGCCATGGGACTCTGTTTTTCTGAGCTCGGTGCGGAAGCTGGGCTGCTCAGCTCTGCAGGACCGAACAAGAGAGGTTACAAGAGAGTTGTCACACCAGATGGCATTAAGTGAAGAAAAAAGGGGGGCAACCAATCCCACATCAAACCATACACACACACACATATATATCATTGCTTTTATTACCATTTGTAAATGAGATCTAAAAAGAAATCCCTCTTCACTTAGTAGATTCCACCTGATATTTTTTTGTGCTTCAAAATCTCATATCAGCTGAGCTGATCTAAACCAAGATGGCATCAACACACATGGATTCCATTTCTCATAGTGCTTTTTAAGGTGAGAGAGAAATGAGGACATTTGGAAAGTTCCGACTGAGAGAACCTCAATCATAATGAATTTTATTGTGTTGGCATTTCAATTTGCGATAGCTTTAGTCCACCTGATTAGAATGTGAGTGTTTAATGGACTAAAATTTTGGTAGATTTCTCCATGGTGACACTAAGCTTCCAAGCTGGAGCCGTGGCCAAGTGGAATGAAATGCAGTAAGAGAAAGGCAAATAATGGCTTGTGAACCCTCAGCACCTTCTTGGTGGCCCAAGGACCACCTGAGAAAAGATTTTAAAAAAATATTGGGAAATTTTGGAAAAGGTTAAGAATGAAATGGATCCCTCGTGCCTTTCCTTAGAGACCCAAAGCACTCCTTAAAAATCCCATCTCCTACAAAAATATTTGGGTGGATTTTTTTCCTTTAGGAGAGTTTTAAGGGACAAAATTGATGTATTAAGAGTCTGCAAGATATAAGGCATCAATTCCACCCATTAAACCTCTCCAGAAAAAAAGAACAAAGAACAAAAAATGGATGAAAAGTTCAGCCTGACTTGTTTCAATGCTGACACAATATCATCAGCTACGCATCTTGGAAGAGGGCCCAGACAGAATCTCAGTGCAAGAAGGGTTCTCACCCATATACTAAAGAGTGGGCAATGGTAGTGTGAAAGAAAAAAAGGGATAGAAATCTGTAAGGCACAAAAAGAATCAGTTGAATCTAATTAAGTGAAATAAATGTTCAATATCCAATCTGAAGGATAAATTGATGTACCAAATAGCTGACTGACTGACTGTTCCTTCACTAGCCTGTGTAGACTTCCCACCAACTTCACATGCGTGGGTAGGTGTGGTAGAAATGTAGTCCAAAGTACTCATTGAAAATGAAGGCGGATACTTGAATAAAACAGAATTCACACACTTATAGGAGTGGAGTGAACATGCATACAGTTGTCTTCAAAATGCCTTTAAACTCCACTCCAAATAAATCTGTTGTTTTTTAAGGTGCTCCCAAACTCTCTGTTGTTTTCATAGGCCATCTTCCATTATCTACATCCTGTTTAATGCACAAAGCACTGAGAACAAAGATCTATCAAGGTACAATTGCTATTTCTCTTTTTGATCCTGATTAATAGGGCCCAGTTAGTCAGGTTAGAAAGGCATGCAGACGGACAGAAATCTCTGTATCCTTGGACACAGCAAATGTTTAGGAGGGTTGAGGACAAACAAAAAAAACACTGTCAGATATGGGGGCCTTCCACAGGCAAGAACCCTTGGATGACCTGACAATGCTATAGGGCTTCCAATGAGCTTTGCACCCTGAGCCAATCAATTCCTCCTCATGACCCTTGGCATTTCCCTTCTCCTCCTGAAATGAAGATGCATGGGGCTTTGGAATAATTCCCTCCCTCCCTCCCTCCCTCCAGTTTTCTTGGCTGCAAAATGCAAATTTCAAGGAAAGTGATCAAGGGCAACCCAGCCATTTTTTAATCATGTAGAGCTTCAATCTCACTGGCTACCATCTTGACTTTTTTGACTATAGCCTGTGGAGACCCCTGCTGGGTGGGGATGAAAGGGTAGAAACTACAGCAAAAATGTCTAAAGTTCAGAGTGATCTGTTAGAACCCTGCTTGTTTTGACTCTGTTATCAGTGACATGACCATAAAAAAGCCTGCACGTGCACAAGCAAATTAACTGACGTCAGTGGAAGTGCAATTATGTAAAATGGAATGAGACTGGAACTGTTAGTGGCTGTAGTGATGATCTCCAACCACTATATAATGCTTGTTTTCCCACAAGGCAAAGGAACAGACCCTAAATGCTTCATCAAGGGCTTTTTCTGATGGATTCAAATATATTTTTGCTATATGAAGTGGTTGTGAAGGGCTCAGATTCTGTTCCAGCAAGGTCTGCAGGGATCCAGCAATACCATTTATATAATGTCATGCCCTGCCCACACATATAAAAATCTCTTCCCTTTCCCAAGGGAGCAGTTCAGATTAATTGGTTCCTACTTCAAGTTTCCTCCTGGGTTTTAAGGGTCAATTACTTACCCTCCTGAGGAATGATGCGAAGAGTTACACTAAGACCAGCATCTTTAATTAGCTTCACAATATCTGCATGAGGCATGTTAATAATAGACTGGCCATTCACAGCTAAGATCCGGTCTCCGACTTTTAATTTCGCACAGCGATCAGCAGGACTCCCATCAATTATCCTGCCTATTTTATGGGGTACAGCTAGAAGAGAAAAGAAGGACACAATGGGGTAGATACAAGCAAACAAACAAATAAATGTTTATACACAGACAAAATGGCTTTGACGGGAAAATGTCTAGACCAGCTGCCTGAGTTCTGTAAGTTATTCCTGCTTTGCCTTTCTCTTTCACTTTGGCTTCTTTACTGTCCAGGCTTCCATTGTCATACTGCTTGTGTTTTTATTCAAAATTTCAGCTGCTCAATCCGTGTTATTGGAACTAATGCTAATAATAAAGTAGTGAAGAGCCGTATCTTCAAAATCCCTGACTGCCATTATATCTGGAGAAAATACCTTCTTATATTCCTGTCTTTGTTAAAGGTGAAAATGATACAGCGCCATTTCAGAAGGCCCTTCCATGCTAGCTACAGTGCAGTGGTGGCCACAGAAAGCCTTGCCAGTTCTCTGAAGATGGGTGAGGAAACAAAAGAGATACAAAAATAAAGATAGAAAACTTAGGACACTTGCAGCAGGCCGGCACCTGAAAAATTTGCTGGACAGAAACTATTCAACCATTGTTGCAACTACAAAAAAGACATGACTACTGAAGCACCCTCAGAAACCTCCCCTGACCAAAAGTAGTTGGCATGAGGTTGCTTCTCACCATTATGAGATTGGAAACACACAAAATCTGCACTGGATGCTCTAACATGACGGAACACAGTTAGAAACAAATCCAAAAAGATATATTCATCATTGAGGGGGAAAGAAAAGAAAAGAAAAAACTAGATCATTTCAGTCCTGGCCACTTGCATTATCCTCTTGCCCACTGAAACTCTTGCCCTCCCAATAAATATTGGGGCCCTAAAAGGGATTGGATTAATCCACATTGGATTATTAACTATTCACATACGAAACATCTCTGAGTAAAGTTGTTTTAGTCCAGGTTGCTGGTTTACGTTTATGTGGGTTTTAATTATTTTACTCTTTTTATGGATTTTATGAGCTGCCCAGAGTCGCTTATAAAATAAATTAAAGGGAAGCTGGGCTTCATTTCAGTATAGCACTGGGCAAACAAAGATTTTCAATGCAATGTTGTTTATGCGTTGTGGATGTTCATGTTGCTAATGCAGTCTAAATTTAAGTATGTATTTACTGAATAAATTACCATTCAATGAAGTTATCAAGGGAACTTATGCTGGATAGGATAGGTGACCCATCTTTGGACAAAATGATCTTAGTAGCCCCCTTCCGTAGCACTGATTTTTTACTAGCCTATACTGCAGCAAGCAAGCAAGAATAACACTAATGATGACTGGTACCCTTCTTTCTAGTGTCAGTGGTTATATATTTGTTGATGTATAGATGCACAGTTATCACAGCGAGGTAATCACATTTGGGTAATCACAGCATAGAAGAAGAGTCACAGCCAGGACAAGGCAGATTCTGAGAGTCAGGTTCTGTTGGAGTTTGGACCTTGGCAGGTGCCTGACAATGTGATTATTGAGAGATACGGAAAGAAGAGAGTAGGCATCAGTTATGAAGGGATCCTTTAATATTCTGGCTTTCCAAGTTTGTTTCATGGACGGTGCAGACATGTTGATTTCATGACAAGGATTCACATGGACAGTCTTTGTTGAAGGGTCATGGATGCTGACAACATTGCAACACCTGACCAGAATACCAACAGGTGTGAGAAGGTAAGACATTGCTGGTGATAAAAGTTAATGTTGCTGATATTCTTTCATTTCTGAGCTATCAGTAGATATCCAAATACAGTAAAAACTTGAGGTTTTACAAGTAAAATGGTCCAGGCAGTTGCCTGGAATATTTGCCACCCAATCTCATCTTTTAGTATGGAGTGAAGGGGATGGGGGGTGGGAAACCAACATCCTTCTCTCCCAACTTCTGTTTGACAGAGCTATAATGTGTTTAAAGGTTTGATTCAATTTATTTATGTATTAGACTTATACGACTGCCAAATCGGAAAGCCTTAATACATACAGGCAGAGCCAACAGGAATTTGGAGACCTAGCATAAGAATTTCAACCAATACATAGCCAGTTGCATCAGAACAAATCATTGTGCCAGAAGTATGTTATTTAAGATATGGAATAAACTATAAGGCAGAGGTATCCTACAACGTAATGCTATTATATTACATGGTCTACCACAGCAAGAGCTTTGAATGTTCTAAGAGCAAGAAATGTATAGCTCTATCACTTCCTAATCGTACAGAATTCAGCACACACAGAATTGTTATCTGAATAAGCTCTTACACTTGCAGTCCTAAAAGCATCAAGGAAATTCTTCAACAAGATGTTTTATTTGTATGGGGACAATACAGTTGTATCCTCTCTCTGTAGAACATAGAGGGAAAAAAATCTTATGGAACTTATGGAACATTTTTCATTACGGCAAAGTGTGGTCTCTTCCTCTAATTGAAGCAACATCCTTTATCAGAAAAGAAACTCCTGAATTGAACTTAGGAGCTCAAACTCCCTTTTATGGATTTTAAATTATAAGTTCATTAATTTCTTCACTGGACAATTTAAAACTTTTGATGTTATGTTAACATTGAAATCTCATTTTGGAGCATTTGGGGATTTCTACCCTAATTTCCTCTCTTTTCCTCAAACACTTCCTGAACCAGTATCAGTGATGACGTCTAAAACGCACTGGTGACCTACAGTTTTTCAAAGAAAAACTGCTTTCATTGTGCTTTCTCCTAGCAACTAGATAATGATGCACGGCTTTCAGCACAGTATTAACTTCTCATTAATTTCTACTGCTTTACCATTAAAAGCACTTTTAATTAAGCAAACTGTAATTTGATTTAATGCTTTGGTTTTCCATAAGCCATTTCAAGTATCGGGCACATTTAGAGAAACGAAACGTCTGAACATTTGCAAAATGTTACATCTAAAGTGGGGGAAGAGAAGACGCCCCACCATCTGTTAATTTAACAAAATAAAAATAGGGTTCGTTCTGGGATCTGAACTGTAAGAAGTCAGACCAGATTGCTGAAACGGTCTGTAGTAGCCTTTGATTTTAGACAGCTTGGTTGCCTTTTCACCTGTATGTTATGGATAAACATACTGGATGAAGCTGGATAAACCTGACTTCCACAGCTAGGTATAGCAGAGACTGCCAACTTCGAAAAGCAATTTTTTAGGAAAAGTATAATGAAATTCAACTTGTGCTCAGCCCAGCAATGGCAGCCATAACACAAACATTTAAACGTAGCCACCCTGAACGTAAATCAAAAAGTAGTTCTAATGAGCAGCAGTTTTTGCAGGGGGGAAGGAAGAGCAAACGGTGAAAGCAGGGATTCTTTGGTGCAGCCCAAACTCGGCCCCTTTTGTGAGTGCTCTGTGACATTGCAACGGTACGATGCTGCGTTCATCATTTTGCTCATAGCGATGGATTCAGCCAGCGCCCCCGCTAACGGGCTCTCAAATTCAATGAGGATATGTAAGAAGGCACTGGATAAGTGCCATCATACTACTGATTTTCATAGAGCTAAGGAAACTACCTGATGCTAAACCCAGCCTACATTTATCTAACTCCGCGAAATATTCCTATTTTTAGGCATACGTGAAATGATTCTTATGCTCTTCTTTTGTTGACTGCCGTTTCACTCATCTATTAATTTTGACAGAAAGTGCATAAAACATGCAGACACACTGCTTAATTTTTTAAACCAAAAGAATCCTCAGGGGACGGCTCATAAATCAGCAGAGATTTACTTACTGAAAGCAGAACGGCTGTCTATTCCTTTCCCTTGCCTGTTTTTTTTTTTTTTTTAATTCTTCTCTTTCCAGTGGAAAAGAAAATATGGACCCTAGTTTTCTCTCTGAAAGCAGCCAGGCAGGGCAGTTTTGAGCAGTTAAACAGACAGAAAAGGAAAAAATAAAAATGACCAAACCCTGACCTGGTAAAGCAGTTGTATCGTACATTCTCAGACCATGATTAAAACCAAAGACTGCATTCCCAGGATTGGTTACGAATGCGAATGTGTTTTCTGTGCACGGAAACGTCTGTTTCTAGGGATACTCCCTGCTCACCCCAGTGGAACTCTACATATACAAAGGGATATTTGCCCAGTTGCCCCGCTCAAATTAATTAAGGCATTTTCTAGGTATACATTGCAAAAGAGAGTGAAAAGAGATTTTCGGAGTGAAAATCTTCCCATCTATTCTTCCTCCAGTACAAGGGTCTGCTTTGTTTAATTGAAAGTGACTGCAACAAATGTAAGCAAAAATACAAACTAGTGTTTGATTATTAAGACAATAACTTAGTAAAAGAAAAAAAAAAGAATGCCAACCAAAATATGGCATCTGTCTGTCTGTCCGTCCATGCATCCATCCATCCATGCATCCATGCATCCATCCATCATCTATCTGTCTATCATCATCATCACCATCACCATCATCATCGTCACCAATTATCTATCTGTCTCTGTCTCAGAAGATCACTAAGCCCAGACAGAACTCCAGTCAATGTCACAGCATGGCACAAGAAAGTGTTGGTTGTTACAAGCTAGTGTCACAGGCAAATAATATTTCTCATTTCAACACATATAGTGCATTTTCATCGGTTGTGTGTGTGCAGTACGTCCCTTAAGAGTTCAGAGGCTGCATTTTGTGAAAAATAACTTTCCTGCCTTCTCTCATTTCACCTTTTTCTTATATAGTATGTACATGCTAGAAGTGATGGAGTAGAAAGGGGGAAAAGCCTTTTCTTGTAATTATTACAAATTCTGGCAGATAACTTTTGTAATATTTTAAAAAAATGTACACAGAAATGTGCTTTCAATATGTTACATGATAATCACGGAAACATTTGTTATGTCTTCAGTTCTCCATAAATATGTATGAACTTTCATTTAGCTCTAATTCTTAGTCTGACATAATGTGACTGGGAGAAATAACAACCCAGTAGGACTGCCTTGCTTCCTGTGGACACTTTTATGCCTGAGACGAACAATCAATAATTCTTGGCAAGCTTCTTCCAATCTTCTCATGTTAGGAAATCCCAGGAG